CGGCGCTCCTTAAGGACGCAGGAGGCCCCGTGGCTCACCAGCACCTCCACGCAGTCCGTGTGGCCCTTCTGGGCGGCCAGGTAGAGGGCGCTGCGCCCGGCGGCGTCCCGCACGTCCAGGCTGACCAGCGTCTCGGAGAGCACGCGCAGGGCTTCACAGTGACCGTTATAGGCCTGTTCGAAGCGCACGGGAGATTAGCACAGCAAGACTACCTGGAATCAGTCTGGTCTCATCAGAACTCGGACCTAGAGCAACGCTGGGTCTGTTAGATCTTCAATTAAGATTATAGACACTAGTTTATCATCTAGTAACTAAAGAACTGCCTGGAATTACCTAATAACCTGCATCATCTTCAAAAAGTCAGGATTTAATTTATTTCTAGGGCCATGCTGGTACAAAGCACCCCGTATACCTTAGGCCTTTTCTATTATTTTCCATTGCCGATACCAGTAAAAGAACCGTCATACAGAGTAAGCTAAAAATATGTACGCGTATATGTTACAGTGCCTTGCTAAAAACAACTACCCATTACAGCGCATCGGTGCAGTTTATAAATCACCCTCCATGCTGTAAACCAAATGAATAAATCCACATAAATAAACACTGTGCCTTGTCTTAATTCCTGGTTGGAAAACTAACCTGAAATACGCGATACAATATGAGAAACTGGTAGCAGAAATAAGCCAGTACTTACAGCTAAGTGCAAAGGGCTAACTGGAATGGAACTCTCCACATCTTCCAGGCAGTTGAAAGACATTTCCAAGAGCTGGAAGGCAGAGAGACGACAGTGGAGACAGCAACTCTTGTAACTCTGTGCCAAGACTTGGTCACCCATATCAGACACTTGTTTCCTTCAATATCCTTCTCTGGGATTATTTCTGATTTTTTTTTTTTAATCCAGAAAACCGCTAAAGAGCGACCTTTTATGGGAGTCACACAACATCTCGATCTTCCTAACCCTTTCAAATATTTTAAAATCAAATTTTGAGAGGAGGCTAGATTTTCCTTGCAAACATAGAAAACCAATGATGAAATACGAGGAGAAAAAACTGCATGCCCCCAGAATGCCAATAGCGTTAAGTCATCTTCCAGAACACACAGGGTTTCTAGGGTGCCCAGAGAGAAACCCCTGTTTGACGAGCAATACAGACACAGATGGAGAACTGCAGGTGTGAAGAGATGGATTCCAGAGAGACTGCACTAAAAGGTCCAGACTGCGACCCACGTCACTGCTTCCTTGAGGCTTGCTGAGGTGGGTACCTGCAGCACAGCAATAGTGCTTTAGCCTTCAAATACTGCACGAGAGCACACACTAGTGGTTATTGCTCACATCACACTAACATACACACAGGTCAAGGCCAGAAAAAGGAGAGAGGACCCCGATCCTAGAGTCCATGCAAACTCCCCCACAAAATGACATTTGGCACCCAAATCTTTTTGGGCCAGGGCTCTGGGCAGCACATTTCACGCATTAAGCATACATATACACATACAGAACTGCAAACTACCCCAACGTTCAAGTCAACACACACCAGGTGAATTAAAATTCCACAATCGCCTTGAAACCAATCAGCGCTCCACACATTGCTAAACTGGAGGATGGTTGCTCACTTCGGGCAGATTATTTCACTCAAGAGATAAATAGCAAGTGCCCTGAAGCCTCACCAGTTCAAGGTTTTGCTTGTTGCCATGGGCAGCTGCATAGTGAACCGCACTGTATCCCTGCTTGTTGCGAACAGCTGGGTCTGCGCCACTGTCCAGCAGAAACTCCAAACAGCTGCAGGGACAAACAGAGAGGTCAGACACGTGTCCAGCTCGTTCTCCCTCCCATTCAGCCCTCCCCAGCTTCCTGCAGCCTCTACACCGAGCAGAAAAATGAAAACCACTTTCTGGCCTCAGGGCTCCGACTCCAGCAGTCCTTCTCTACATGCAGGCACCGGACGAGAAACTCACAAAAAGGTCTCCTTTGCTCTCTCCTCCTCGTTCTCATGGCTCCCGGAGTAATGGCGATCCACTCTGAAAACGAAAGCCGGCAATTTAGTGCTCCGGAGAGACGCTGCTGCCAGGAAGGCTCTCACAGCGGTGCCATTCAGCAAAACTGCCTACTGAAACCAACGTCACCTTGCCCGGTCTGCTAGCACTGCAATCTCCTTTGCATTCCAATAAACTGAAAATCACCATGGAAATGCTATGTCGGAACCCGATGCTTCCAGGAGAACATTTCTGAAAACGGGGCCTTTTAATCCGAGGTTATTCCCCGATCTCAAGCAGGACAGGTTCTGGCGCCGGAGCCAACGGCTGGCTACATGTCCCGGAGACAGATGTTATGAACGTGCTGGAAAGTACACAAAATGCTCCCGTTTATAGAATCAGCTGGCCCACTCAAGAGCATTGTGAAAACTGAAGCAACGAAACACACACGCAACACTAACGATTCAGACCGGAGGGCAGTGCCCCATCTAAGGGTACAAAGTATGTTCCTTTGAGCTTCCAACACCATTCCACTCCCACTGTTCTTTCAAGAAGAGGGCAAGCGTGCGACCGGGTTTACCTTCGGAAGGTTTCGGAAGCAGCAGAGTAGTGCAGGGGGGTACAGCCTTTATTGTCGCCTTCGTTCACCTCGGCGCCGGCGCTCACCAGGGCCACTGTGCACTGGTAGCTCCCGTTAGCAGCCGCATAGTGCAAAGGAGTCCTGCGGACCACAGAGAACACCTGCTCACGCCATCGCCGGCTCACCGGGCAGCAGCCTCGCACAGAGCTCTGCACCGATTCCGTATCGGACCGGCCTGTGGGTACGGCCGGGTCTGCCTTACCTTCCAAATTTATCCTTCTTACTCAGGTCAGCCCCGCTGCTCAACAGCAAGTTAAGACATTCAACGTTTCTGTTTAACGACAACGGAGAGGAAAGAAAAGACGGGCATGAGAGTTGCAGAACTTTACAGGGTGAAATATTTGGCTGTGGTTAACAATTAGAGACACGGGTCCTGGCCTGTATCCCACATGAATGAGCTCGGCAGAGCATCATCACTATCACACGCTAGGATCAACAAAGCCAGGTTTGTCACACGGGCTGCTTCGCTCACGTGCAATCAGTGCGAGGACAACAGTGACGCCAGAGACAAAGCGGTCTTCTTCAAAACCGTGTTGCTTCAAGGCCAAATCACGTTGACCATCAGCAAGCTGAATATCTGGTTTAAGTGCATCAATTTGAAAAGACCCCCCCCCCCCCCCCCGAGGATGATATTACAGTCCATAACAGTGAGGTGCCCAAACACATCGATAAAGAATTGTTCATTAGGGGCATATTCATATCCCATCACCACTTCTTCCCCGTATGGTAATCCCTCAATTATTTAATACACAAAATTGAGAAAAGAGCGGCGTATCTGGCAATGGAGGAAGACGCAAGAATGAAGAAAGAGAAGAGCAAACAGAAAGCAAAAACACAAAACCACAAAACGCAGAAGGAAAAGCAAAAGGAAGGAAATCCAAACTGAAAAACAGTGCACAAAGGAGCAGAGAGCCCCCTGCAACCCCCCAGGCCCCTCGCTCACCCTCCCGATGCAGCAGCGTGTAGGCAGGTCCTCCCGAGGTTATCGGGCGTGTTGATATCGAATCCGGCCGACAGCACGTGCTCGTTGCTCAGAGACGAGACGATGCTGTACAGCTGACCTGCAGAGACACGGGGCACCTTTCACAGACCTCTCAAGGCTCTGAGCTCCGTCCTCCAGCAGGAAGAGCCGGAAACGCGTTTAAAAACGAGAACAGGAAGCAGAGGATTGTGGGGGGAACAGAACAAGCTGCCCAGCCGTCTCGTTGTCACCCCATCCTCTTTCAAGAAAGGGCGGGATGAGATTCTGAGATCAGCTAACTACTAAATAGGCTGGATAGGCCAAGATGGCTCCCGTCACTGGCAACGATTCTTGTGACCCGCCCTGCATTGAGATTTGCAAGCAGAGCTTGTAGCAGAAGTGTAATTCATGGGCAAGACTGATCATAACCCAGCAGTGCTTCAAGACGGCACCACGTGCAGGTCGGACTGTAATTCTACACCACTCACCTGAGGAGAGTAACTTGCGACAACAGTCTGAAAACCCGTAGAGCACAGCCAAGTGCAGCGGAAACATCCCATGAATCCCTCGCCTGCACGGACACAGAGACAGGTAAGCAGGTCACGCCAAGTGTCAGGTAACGCTCTCGTGCAAAATAAATACTAGCCCTACCAGGCCCGTCACATCAAAATGAATGCCCCACTGAAAAAAAAAAAAACACCCAGGTTGCGTCTAAATAGTAATAAACCACTCTTGGTGTTACGCAATGTAAACGCCAACCAGCCAAGCTACCGGATGCTTGTGTTTGCGTTTACTTGCACACTTGAAAAGGTGTCCAACCCATAATCGAGGCTGCGGAGTCGATTGTGACAGGGCTCTACGAGTGCCATGGGGCTCCGATAAACACAGGTGCGCTCGTGACTCTGTGACAGGCCTCACCTTGCTGTGTCAGCACCGTTTGTCATCAGGGTGCTAATCAGCAGTTCATGGCCATACTTAGCAGCAACGTGAAGAGGAGTATTGCCATATTTATCCACACAGTCGATCTCCCCGCCTGCGAGAAAACCAGGAGAGAAGACATTCAGAGCCGTCTGCTGAACCGCTGGTGTGTCTGCTCCACCACAACTGAGCCCAATCCGAAGCGAGGCTTGATTTAAAGCACGAAAGACAGATTTGCCAAAATGACAATGGCACGGGGAGATTCAAGTTCAAGCACATGTAAAAACGTGCCATGGCAATAATTACAACCCAGCCTCATCTCACAGGGTGCAGTAGAAGCATTTTTAAACCGTCTTCCCCCACCTGCATGGAGTGACAAACAACTCTCAAACCCAGAGCCACCCATGTCAGGCAGTCCCGCTGACCGTACAATACGATCTCTCGGCGGGTTTGACGCCAAGGTATCATGATCCAAGGAGGCTCGTATGAGGTTCAACCCTGGCTGCCACCCTCTATATCGAAGATGCAAAAATCACCCACAAAAACAGAGAATCAAATTTCTTTAGCCCACCCGCCCCCAAAAATACATCAGCCCAACAGGATTAAGGAAACGCAGTTAAAAACATGAAGAACACAGATGGAGGAAGGGATATTTCAGAC